TTCCCGCGGCGACCTGTCCACGGCTCGCGCTTCTTGCGCGATTATACTTGCTTGCATGGAAGAAATCTGAGAGAAGACGTGAGTCGAGAAGTTCGTTGAAAATTTTAAAGAAGTTCTTGACTCTGCGTGACAGAGATCATAGATGGGTATAACGATTAGGTATGATGCCTTTTGATATATTTTCGTTGCTTTTACGCGGGGCGATGTTGATAAATAGGAGGTCACGTTGGTAATTAATTTTCGAGGTTTAAAGTTTCGTTAAAAAACCCGTCCCTTGAAATAAAGAACAGTATCATTGGCTCGTAAGTAAATGCGATATATCTTCTCTTACGTATACTTGAAAAATGGACTGGTCTTAACTGAGAACATTTCATAACTTCCACATTCTAATTTTCTATCAGTTAGAGGCAAATGCATAGAGAAAATCATTGATTTTAACGCCCCCACTGAAAAATATCTGTTCACTTAACATTCGCGAAAACGATTTCTAATTCATTACGTAACATTGAGATAGAGTGTCGCTGTCGAAGATCATAATAATTTCACGTTACTCGGCTCAATGTCGCTTTATCTATTGCCGCTTTAGCTATTAAATCACGATATTCCTTCAGTGTCATACAAAATCCCAACAACATTTTATCGTTCGTTAGCCTCAGGCACTAAAACTCTAATACGTAGCTACTTTCTTGGCTAGTTTCCAAGTCTGACAATAAGACTGGAGAACATCAAATGACTGCATTTGTCGTGGCGTAACGAATCGCGGCGGGTCGTGAGAACGTTTCCCTGGGACAAGGGGAAACGATTTCGCGTACAAAATCGACACTTCCGCCGGCGCGAGTGTGTCTTTGTTCTGGCCAACAGACAAAGGAACGCGAAGTCACGGCTACATCGACTGTGCACAGCTTGGCCAACCTATGCACACTGTGAACGAGGCTTTAGGAACTCCGTGGTTGGAATGCTGAGTCGCCGTGTGTAACGGGCATGGAATGCGCGAGAGGAAGTCGTGCGCGCTCGCAGAAATTCACGTTCGATCGGCTGAAATTCAGGCACGCCAGCCTCATTTCCCATGCAGAACGAGGGCCACGGCATTGCTACACGTGCTCTTAACTACGTGACGTGTTTACATGGACCACTAGGAAACGACATATACGCACCGTGATCGCGTGAAAAGGTAGCCTAGCGTGATTTATAGGTATTTCGTTATAGAGAAGATCCTGCTCTCGGAAGATGCAGTGGAAGAAATAGTTGTCAGAGGAAAGATAACTATCCGAAGCTCGAGCCATCAGAATCTCAGAGTATTTCATACTTTGAATCGCAGGTGAAAAAGTCGTTGGAAGATTGATCGGACATCGATCGATCTCTGACAAAATATGGCAAAGTATAATTTTTCATTACTAAAAAGTGCCGAATCTAAAGCGTAAGCGAATGATAAACGAAACTAATCTGGTTGTCATTGTAGCGTAACAGCTTCTACAATGAATCGTTGGTACAGTAGCAACTAGCTGGCGTGAACGGATCATTACCTCGTTGCCGGTTTCCGATCGTTCGCGGGACGATTTAATGGACCGTTCGCAGACCGTTTGCTCTGTTACAGCAAACCGATCATCGTCCGTTTCTTTCGCCTTGAGAATCCTCTCAAATGCTTCCGGAAGCCGCTGGATAAATAACGTCTCGTAAAAACGGAGAACCTCTACCGTGGTCCATGGCGTCGATCCGCTTACATTTTACATTGATGCAGCAAAAACCAGATACTTTGATTATTCGTTCAACCAGCAACAACGTACACATTTAGGACGCTGCTCTTTCTAACATTCATAGCGATTACACGCTCTATTTTCACGTCTATCGACATTGTTTCGCGTGGAAAAACTGAGAAGGGAAGCTCGAAGAATCGTTTAGAACCGTGACAGGCTCGTTCGATATTTTCTTTCCTCTTGAGCAACGTGACTAGAATTACTTGGATAGAGTAGTATGTATAAGAGACTACTTAATCCATCAACGAAGAAAATGCTTCACCGATGTAGTTAATGAATCACTCGAGCGGACGCACGTCGGTTAAACATCGCAGATCTGCATAGAAGACAATTAAGAGTCGTTAAAATAATTCCGGTTAATTAAATGTTTCCAGTTGACGGACAGACGTCGCGATGGAAAGTCGGTTTTGTTCGCGACTTTCATCTAATTAATCCGACTGTCCCTGTTTCTCGGTGATATATCGCAGTGTGGGTGGAAATACGGAAATAAATGGTTCGCGTATGTTTAATAATGGATCTGAGGCTGCTCTAGCTTGAAACGGTAACGGTGAACGGAATCGAAAATAAGCGTCCCTGGGTGAGAGAAAAAAAATGTAAAGATGTGGCAGGTAATTGGACGCCGGTAATTAACGGATGATAATCACGATAATGATTACGGCGATGACGACGATAATAGTGGTATCGTTGTATTATGCTCGTAGCAGGTAAGTTTACGCGTAAATCGCCGCGTTTCTCACATTTCTTTCAGTCAATCGACTAATTTATGGTTACCGTATCTTCTATATTTTCAACGTTTAGATCATCTGGGAACTTGTTGCAGATACGCCAGTACCTGCTGCTACTAGCAACGGAAGAAGAAAAGAGAATAAGACGACGTGCATGAACAGGAAGAAGAGGAAGAGGAAAAAGAAATGTACCACGTTGGATCAATGAGAGGCGCTTTCACGATAATAAATATCTCACCATTTATCACGTCAACTGATTACGCCCGGAAAAACGTTACCGATTACCATTTTCAATCATCCTCGGACAGATCGATTTACGATTTCAGTCATTTTAGCCGGTCGATCATTCATCGTGTTAACGGCAAGGGACACGAAGTGAGACGTGCCATTCGAATGGCACAGCCGCGTTTAAGAGCCGAGGCGAACGCGTTTTGTCGCGGCAATTAACGAGAAGGAACTTTCTTATTAACTTTCCTCGAAGAAGAGCACCATGGTGAAACTTTTACGCGGCCGCCGTGGCAAAGAATAGAGAAAGAAATTGTCGCGTGCCGGCCGGCTTCTCCAATCGTCACGGTCTATATATTTTAATTTTTAGTCTTGCAGCTCGGGCAATCTCCCAAGGATGAACGACAGTCGCATTTGTTTGGCGTATCATCGCGTGCGCACGTACCATATTAGTTTCTAACAATTTAATCGGTAATTTCTTGATGTTACGGGAAAGTGATCGGACTCGTCGAATGATACCGTTTCGGATAGTTAAACAAGCCGAGAATTAAACAAGCTGAAGTACACTCGCTAGCGCCGAGATGTCCCTGAACTACTTTCCAACGCGGAATGCGAGGAAACTATCAATTTAAAGAGACACACTTGAAAAACGGAAATTTATGCAACCGCATCTGATGAGGATGCAAGTGTTTGATAATACAAATGAGTACATTTTAGAAAGTTCGATAAAAATTAAAAATTCCCCTACATTTAATTACCGACAATTTAACGGCCGTGCGAATGCGTAAAGTTCAAGTACCCCAGAAAACTGATTGTAATCTTGCCTCGGAATCATATACAGAAATTTATCATCGTTACACCCGTTATTTCATATCCGGATTATTATAAATATAATTGATGCGTGTTCATTAACTCGACTCGAGTAATTTACATTCCTAGATCTCGATTGCGTTGTGCGTAGAGCAGTATTTTAATAGAGTGGTTTCTTTCTCTTGGTTTTTTTTACAAGTGCTTTTAGTGGAACTTGTTTAGTGGCTTTGATTAAAGTTCGTATTTGTCCTATCACCTCCGATCTGAATCAGCGTGCTCGTACTTTTTTCTAAGCGCGATTCCCCAGATATACGTGCGTGTGTGTGCAACCGTTCGTATACCAGAAATTTAATCAATGCGACTGCATGCAATTAAAAGTAAAACGTGTTTTGAACTTGTCTTATCGTTCTCATTAAAATTGGAAGAGCATCGCTGTATTTCTTTACGTTTTGCTTTGGCTAACGTCCGTAGGAATTAACGAGCAACTTATTCTCTCCGATGTGGTAAAAGAATCGTGTTTCTTCAGCCTATCTCCATTAATATTACACTGGTAATATACGGTGTTAACATACGGTGTAGCGGAAGTTCTCATGGAAACAATCCGACGTTTCCAAAATATTCATTACTCGTTTATCTTTTACTTATTAGCATCGAGTATCGTGAAAAGTGTATTCGTACGATCAGCGTGTTGAAACGATTTGTACTTTCAATCTCTAATAACACTCGAAGGAATGTATACCATGAATTTTAATATTCATATTTCAATTTCACTCTGTCGGATAAAGAAGATAGCAATTAGAGGTGTGATACGTCTCTCCGCAAATAAGATACTCTCGTTACCACTTTCTACGATCGTTTAATCCGTATGATAGCTATCTTCCGTTCCTGTATCTGTAATTACAAAGGGGACGATTAACATTCATTCATTGGCAACAGTGTAACAGTTTGCAACCCCGACCTGATCTACGTATTAACATATGTTAAATAAATATAGAATAGGACCGATCGGACGAGTTTCTAGTTTCAACCCTTTTCCGGGATTTAAATTCCATTTGCTCTATTTTACAAGCTTCCCTCTTTTATCGATCGTTCTGCTACACGAAAGACGTGGCTTGATGGAAACTGTACGTTTTATGATTAGCTCGGTATAACGTATGTTGGTGGTAGAATCTGTTTATTAGTATCCGAGGGCATTAAATCGCTCCGTACATCGTAAATTGGTACCAAGTTACAAGTTACGTTTAACGAGTGACCGTCAAAGGAGTCCTCCTCGTGGTCCGTGAAACTACAGCTGCACGAGCACGGAGGAGAAAAAGTGGTCGGTGCGTATTTACGTAAATTGGTGCGTATGCCGGCCAATAAAATCATTACGTTGAAACGGAGAATCTATGGGCACGAAATCCAAGCACCGTTATGTATCCAGGATGGACATCGAGCGGCTGATTTACTTAAACCCGGAATGGCAGTCGTTCTCATTATCGGTCACTTTATTCCACGTGGAAAAGGATGTTGAACCGTACACGTGTATCCTGATCATTTCCAGGTTGCTATTCGCTATATCACAGTTACAGAATCTCATAATGTTGCTAGTGAAACACGAATATCTGTTTCTTTTTTTCCGTCTAGACAATTTGTTTTCGTTAAGATAAGATATCTATTAGGAGGATCGATTCGTACATGAAATGTCCGTGACACGATTCTTTCACCGTGACGTGATTGATTGGTGAACATTGAGAGGTGAATGTTCTCCGCCCTGTGCCGCAAGGAGGAGAACGATCACGTAAGAAACGCCTAATTTATTATGCCTGACTACTCCCGTATCATTAATTTCTCCCTGCCTAAATAATTACTCGAGTTCGCGTTAGTGGTTCGCACGACTTCTGCATGTGCACACCCACGCGGTTATGTAACAGCCGTACCCTGAGTTATTAGGCACCGATCCACGGCTAACAAAGAAAGTAATCGCCACAAAGATACCGCGACAGCGTTAATTGAATCGGAGCCAGGAATTTAGCCGCATTTAAGGCCTCGCCTCGAGACTCGTAATTCTCTTTCGTCGATTTGCCCAAGTTTCCATTGTCCCACGGACACGTTTCATAATTATTATTCATCGCGAATAGATGGTGAAAGAATAATAGTCCCGATTCCACGGCTTGTTTTTCGAATAGACTCGTTCCGCCGTGCAAGGGTTTTCATTCAGGAGAACAATAGTATTCCAGCATGTTTCATGATTGTGTATGCAACAAAGAGTAGAATATAATAACGTCGGTGTAATCATTCGCGAGAAAACGTGCCGAGTGATTTTGCATTAAGAAAAAAGACGCGGTATTTTATAATTGCCGTAATTGGCACAAAACTAACGATCATCGGTCTTTTTCACGGTGAACATAGACGCGTTCTCGTGCGCTGGTTTATTAGCAGCAGCAGCTCTTCGTCAGGTGTGCGTATGTGTGTAAAGACTAGTTGCCTGATTCGTAGTGGTTTGCGTGTTTCCTTTTTACAGTCGACCGTGTGTGAATGAAATTGCACGACTCGTTAAGGTTTTTTTCACGGTCGAAAATGCATTAGAAGGATCGTCAGAGTCGGAGAGATCCAGAACCGGCGTTTCCTTAAAGGGACGAAGCGAGGAAGTTCAAACGAGATCCTGTCGTCGTCATCTTCGGGAAATGGTCGAAAAATAAAGGACATTAACGTCCTATGTTCGCGTGCATCAAGACATCTTGGATAACATGTCTTATCGGTACTATGTATCAAACATAACAACTAATTTTTAAATCCAAGTTTCTAAGCAAACCTGTCCTCACAGACATTTCACCACGTCCAATTTCCAAAATTTCCACGATGGTCTACCTTTCGATTATCGCACAGAATCGGATTCGATAAAAATACAAAATGCAGAATGCAAAGAGGTTACCTGAATTTCCTATGAGTCACACGTGATCCACGTTCAACCTTCTCGATGCATGGTTCGAAGTGCACGTGAAATAAAATTTATTCACGAACTAGCACGCTGCAGATGAAAATTAATTTTCATTGTTGAAATCGAATGCAACTGGCACGACTTTCGTTCACCGGGGTCTCGTGAGGGAAGAGACATTCGTTGACGCGATCCGCTCTTTAAGACGACCGGAGGTTTACTGACACCGGCGCCTCCACCTGTTCGTAATGTAAGCCAGGTTTCAGTTTATCCTGTGATGCGTCACGTAGAGGGGCAGAAAGGACAAACGTGAAGAGTATGTGGTCGATATTCAGTCGTTTTCTTACCATATATGCATGTAAAATAAGCACGAAACAGACACTGAATGGTGGAGCTAGCTTTTCGAATAGGTAATCTTCGTCACGGACGTAAAACGATTGCAACGGTTATTGCATGAGTGTTATCGCAGAGACTCAATTCACAAACAAGAACTAACTGCTGTATTAAACTGATTTTCAACGTCGCTTTCGATCACATTTATTCTCATTCTGTAATGTTTACTTGAGAACATAAAAAGATGGCGATCGTAAAATTTGAAAAAGTATGAATATCGAGCTATTATAGATATCGAATTGAAAGAACATCTTTTGAAATAGCTTTATACCTTTATTGTGTATTATTGTTGTACTTACAACATATTAAACGCTGGAAAACGATGACGAAGTAGAAATCTCTCAATAATCAGATGAACGTTCGAAAGAAACGAATTTTTAACTTGATCTTCGAATTAGCGAATGCATTAGTTTAATACTGAATATGGCCACAAGGTGGCGGATGTTACCACGACTTTGATTTGGCGGGAACAGAAATACGTAGGTGAGAATTACGTAATTTTGATCGATGAAAGAGACGCTACTATAATATTCAAATATCAATTATAGTCGTGCAAATAAGACGACGAATGTTAAGATGTCCATCATTGTATTATAAATGAAGTGGCACTACAGACAAGATATGTACTGTACTTAAGTGCAGTGAATAAGTATTATAGAAGTACGAAACTATAGATTTTGCTTACGATTACATATAAGGTATCTTGTTCTATATCTTGTTTGTAGTGTTATACTACAATCTAGTTTCAATTCTACTCACTCTAAATATTGCAATCTTATCTATTCTTGAATCGGTAACGTTGGGACTGACACTTAGATGGTAAGGAAGTTCAGCAAAACATGTGACATACGAAACTTTGCATATCAAACTGTATATATTAATTTACGTGTACATGATTAACTATTAATTATGATTAATGATATAATTATGTGTATGTAATTTACTTCCCCTTTCTTTTGTCTCTTTGTTTCATCTCTTTCCTCATTTTGTCTCCTTTCATCTTTCTTTTCCTTTTTGTACCTGTTGAATTCATTCTTCCTCTCCTCTTCCTGTCATTATATTTCTTTCATATCCCTAATAATTCTTTTCTTATCTTTCTTTTCCTTTTCCTCTTTTGTTTTTGCTTTCCATTTTATCTCTTTTTCGTAAATTGAACTGTGACTAACGAGATACAATGATACACGAAAGTATTCGAACTTACTATAGGAGTTTTTGTATGAATATAGAATATATTATGTTCATTGTATGAAACTTCTTGAAAATTCGTTGGCACTGTAATGAGACACAACAATCGTGATGGTAATAGTAAAACCTGGAATCAACTTGAAAACATACAAGACATTTACTGCAAAACGTATTCTTAGTGAAAAAATAGTACACAACGTGAACATTAGTTTTAAATGTAAAATTAGTGCCAAAGATGATCTCATAATTGGTGTGTGTATATCATAATGTACTAAATAATTAACTGTTTAAATACGTGATGATTTTTGCGAAGTGTAGTGTTTTCAATAAACATCTTGTAATTTTTATATACGTTATCAGATCTGTCTCAAATTTTACCAATCACTGATTATTAATTGCGATAGTCGTATCTCGTTACAATGCTAGTGAGATTTCAAAATGTTTTGTATAATGTATACAATAAAAGTTTCTAAAAAGGTTAGTAGGATTTTATTTTAATCTTACTTGTCAATATTATAACCTTACTTCACATTAGAATCACATTTTATTTCGTTCTATCTCGATCGAAAATAATAAAAAGTGATGATAAAAGAATTTTCAATATCTTAAAACATTTATGAATAATAACAGCAGGTATAAAGAACATACACATAATTGATGAAAGTTGTCATACGAATAACATATGAAAAGATCTTAAAACATTTAGCACTTATAACATTTATACGAATAATTGATTATAATCGTCAGATTAATAATAGCATTAATAATTCATAATAATTTATGAGTAACAAATAATTAATAAAAAATTTTCATACGAATGAAATATCAATAAGGGAATAATAAATATGTATGTGTAGGCTCGTCTGTATACATATGGATGTACAAAATATAAGTTAATCACAGTTCCTTCGACCCAGATATTATTTTATTTTGAATTAAAAATTATCTTTCTTCAGCTTTCTATCTATTAATCAATTTCTCATATTCATTTATGTTCGTCGAAAAGATACTAGATCATTTGTGTTTACTTTCTATAGTTCCTACGTGCATTTCAGTGTTCAATCTAACATATTATTTTCTTCTTTTTACTTTTGAGACATAATATGTTTATTGTTGAAAACATATCCTTGAGCATAAGTTTTTCAGGAATTTGACGAATCCTATTCGTGCATACGCATCTAACTAGCGACCTTCCCCCTCTCCCACTTCTTGCCAGCCGAAATTCACGGAATAAATCGCGG